GAGCTCAGGTGCTGTGCAGCAATGACACGTGCAGCACATGGGGCAGAACGCTTGCTCTGCATTGCAAAAACGCCTCCAGCTGCTCCCATCAAGGGTGCAGATGGGATCGGCATCTTCTGACCCTGGAGGCATTGCTGCAGTTTTACTTGCATCAAAAAAGGACAAAAATAATCGTTCAAGGTGAGAAACTAAAGAAAGATAAGATGTATCAGTCTACACCTGCACTGAAGTTAAACAAGAGAAGTCAAGAGCTTGTTTTCTGACTTTCACAGGCCTCTGGTTACAGGTTAGCATGTACTAGCAAGGAGAGTCAACCTGGGAAGTGTCAAGACAGCAAAAAGCTATAGAGCTAATAACATATAACTATTTCATGCTGATACACGAGGCAGCTTGTAGTAAACCAGGTTCTATAGCTTCAAAGAAAAAAAGAAAAAAGGGACTCTTTTCCAGAAGAATAATCCCCAAAATTGAGTTGCTCCAGGCTACGAAGGAAACCAGCCAGTTTGCTTATAACATACCACAGGAATTCTGCCTTGGGCAAATCAGCTGCAACAGCAATGGAAGCAACATTCAGAAGACAAAGTAGGTGATTTCTGCCTTTATGTGGGCACTTACTACAGTGTGATAGGCAATATATCCAAGCTAGTCTCTCACCTAGGTAAGTAATAACAAGCCTCCTCCCTGTATACAGCACTTCACATTTGTAAACACTGAAAAGCATCAGGAGCAAGAGGACACCCAAGGAAAACTGTAGTGCAGATCATCTATGTGATCTGCAGTAGTTATACAGCAAGCCTAGGGCAGACATGGAAAAAAACCCATAGCAATCCAGTGTCCGATTTACTGTAGCTCTAAACAACTTAACAGATGCACAGGATGCAAAATTTCAAGATGCAAACACTTTGCCAAACCTGTCGTGCTACACCAGGGCCTGCAAGAAAACAGCTGCTCCAGCAAACACTTGTCAGTGCTGTGCTTATCTCACTATTATTAGCATTTGGCCCATTCTAATGCATTTAAAGGGCAGTTTTGTTTGAGGCTGTTCATATTGCATGAGCTTATTGAAATAATTGATTCAATGACAGGATTCTTAACACTAATCTACAGCAGAAGAAAGATGAAAGTAAACTGAGAGAAAACATTTTGACTAAAAGAAATCTTAAATCTAATTTTCCTGTTGTCATTGTGAACAGGGAAAAACTTGCCAAAAGTTTTTCAAGCCTAGTCACCAACAAAAAGGCAGTGAAAATGCAGCAATAGAATAAATGCTTTTTTGTCTTTAAGACAGAATTTAGATCAAGCATACAAGCATTCAGTGCTGCAGTCAGAGATGTGTAAGGAGAATAGGTCCAGTTTGGTTCAAATGTTTGAAGAGGTTAATCCCAAGGTTGGATGTACACCGTAATGATGGTGAATTTGAAAATCAGCTGCCTTGGCAAATATCCCAACAAGGCAGGAACTTTGCAACATTTTAGTGCTCCTACTACTCTTATACCTAAAACAATGATTCTGCAGATTTAACAAATCTTAAAAGCTCTTTACTAACAGCTAAGCTTTAGAAAACTCTACTGATGAATAACAGTGAGGTCAAGATGCTTACTCACTAAGGACACTTTCTTTGGCAGAGATTGAATAAAACTCAGTATTTCTTAAGCCTCCAGAAACTGTTCTTACTGCACTTCTGGTTTCTGCTTTTTCCAGTGCCTTGCAGTCTTTTTGCTGTCAGCTCTGCTACACAATCCTCTAGGATGCAAGAGATCAAAAAGGAAAAAAATGAAGAATTGATCTTAAAATAATTCAAATAATATATATTGCCCTCCTTGCCCAAGCATTCAGCGGGTCTAGCATAGAAATGATACATTATATTTATTTTAACATATTTATTGTATGCTTCTAATCTTTCAACTTCATGCCTTTTTTTGCCTGTTTATGTTATTAAAACACTGATAACTTTAAACATGACATTGCTCTATTCTTATAATAAGATTCTCAATAGCTATAGAAATTTATCCCACATATGACCCGTAAGCCTTATTTAGAATGATCTCTTCTATGGGTGACAAGGGACTTTGAATTTCATGGGCCATTTAATCTTTAGCCTTCACCAGAACTATATAGGTTGCCTCTGAATTAGAAGTATAGGCCCCTATGAACCTGAAACATTTAATGGTAAAGCATTAAAACTTCCACACGGGCCACTGAACAGTCAATAGGTGAAAACTTGTAGCGACTACTTACCTTAGATAGGAACAACAACAAAAACAAACTTAGTTTATTTTCCGGGTGGTACAGGATGTTTCAGGCAACAATTCGTTCCAAAGAGTCACTATGCCACCAGCTCACGTTCTGCTACTCTGGGCTTTATTGTAGGAGCTGCAAGAATCAATCTAAAGGCTTATGTGAATGATGAGAAGTCTCATTTTCATTTACAAGGGGCAATGCTCACAGTCACAGTGACCTTAGTGACAATCACAGCAATTGCTCCCCATCTGGAGAGAAGCAAGAGGGCATCTGATTCAGCTCTAAATCTTTCTCTTCATACTCTCACATACATACTGTCTTAGGAGAGGTAGATCATAAACCTGGCAAGAAAATTAAGTGTAAAAGCACATTTTGAATGTCTAAAGGAATAGCAAAAAGACCTCCCAAAGGATTCAGATGTGCACTTTTTGGAAGTTAACATCAGAAGCTTTAAATAATTTAAGCAGTATTTAGTTGGTATCTGAACTATGTATTCCTTTACATTCACTATATATCCCTTTCTGTATTCACTTCAGGGCAATAAAATACTAGGACTCTTTTCATTGCAATGATTTGCACGAGAAGGCTGAAATACAAAGGTGAGCCTGAAGACATTCATATGTGCAATAAATAAGTTAGCCACACATACATATATACCCCGTGCAGCTTTCTCTACCTCCCTGTTGTTCTAGGCTTCACAGTGTTAATAGGTATTTAGTTTTCATAGCATGAAGATATGTACCTAGAAATATAATTCAAGGGGAATATTGGAAGGCCCATTTTACATTATCTTCTCTTTGATTTATATATGAATTATTTATTAGATGTCTTCTGGCACTGTTTTAAAAGGTAAGAAATCACACTGGGAAGGAAAGAGAACACAGGTAACAAAGCACAAGTATTCTCAAGAGACTGGATTTCCTCCGGTTTCTTAATCCTAAAACTTGTTGTTATACCAGCAATTGGCACTTCTCAGTACGCAGCATCCCAGAATCCTGGTTTGAAGTCTATATAGAAGTCTTCCATAACGATGAAGAAAGTATTTTCTGCTCTGCAGTTAACAGTGTAATAAATCAATACGAAACAAGAGTAGTTATTAAAAACTGTATTTCCCACCCCCCCAACAGTTACATTTTCAGTGAAAAGATTAAACCACATAAACACTTCACTTTTCTCCTTGAAAAGATTTAACAGCTCAGAAATGCCATAGATACACATGGAGGATGCATGTTAGCTTGACAATGACAGGCCACCACAATCCAGCCCATTCATTCCAGCCAGCAACCAGAAACACACGAACCCCCTTAAACTAACCCTTTAAGGGCTGCCCCTTTGCACCAAGGTTAAAATTAAAGTGCCTCTTAGGCAACCAGGTCAATATTTAAAGACTCTTTTGGGTTAATTCCTGGTTTAATTTTAATAAAGCAATTTCCCACCCAGCCCCAATAAACAGGGGTAAAAGATTAACTTTCACATTGAAACTTTACAAAGTTGCAACTGAATCACAAGGATCTTTTTCATAAATAGGTGTACAGTTGTTCTCATTACACAATATTGTCTTGTTCAAGATAATTTCCCTCCCCATGCTCACAAGTCCCTTCTTTTTCTTGCATACATCCCACTGGCTTCTTTCAAGCTCTTCCCCACCTTGAGACCATTACAGCATCTTGTCGTCATAACTTTTTGCCATGAAAATGGTCATGTTGTCACAGTCAGATTCCAGAATTATTATTCCACAAAATTAACAACCATATGAAAGGAACGAGGAACAGGTGAATGGAGTTCTGCTCAAATAGGTTTTGAAACATCTCAAAATCAGTGCAACTTGCAGGAAAATCTAGGAGTTTTGTAAAAATGACCTGTACATACTAAAGAAAATGAAGTGCTAGGCTTTTGGCAGCAGTGCTAGAAACTTCAGGCTTCTGGTATTTTGTGTGCAAATTCAAACACAGTCAGTGCACTTCCTGAAGTTTCACCACAGGTTCTTTAGTTTGTAAATGCTTACATGTGTGTGTTAAGGGGCTGCAGCTGCTACCAGAATAAGCCTGAAAGCATCACCGAAACTTGTGACTGGAAAGCTTAGTGCAGTGCTACTGCCTCTCTTGGACCGGTGCCTAAAGAAAATAGTATTATCTCAGGATCAAGATAAATTCCATCTCACTGAACTGCTGCAGGGAGCCAAACCACATATAATTTTTCAAGTGATTAGGAACGTAGTTCATTAAAGCCCTGTGAAACTTGGATTTAAGCTAATGGTTACTAATTTTCCCTTATATGAGAGCTAAGTTTTATGCAGCAATTAAAGGGTTAAAGTGGAACTATATGTAGTATTTGAAACAGTTCACATATTCTCTATACAAATTTGGCAAATTCATAGATCTTATTCTTGCAATTCCTGCAAAATATGTACAGCTCCTCTGTTAGAAGCAAAGGGAGAAGCCACCTGAATGACCAGATTTTCCAGGAGGACATAGTACAGCCCACAGAGAAGCACAGAACAGCTGCTGATCTCCACGTTCCAGCTGAAACAGGTAGACTTACTGCAGTAAATATGCTTTAGACACATGCTCCCAAAAGAGCTGGAGGCCACCGAGCAGATGGGTATGGAAAACCTGACCGCACTGGAAACACTGCGGCCAACAGGAAATTAAAAACATGATTTCAAAGCCAATCAAAAATAAAACAAATAATCCCAAAAAGCAAGCATGTATATGTGTGCGTAGATGTAATAAATACTGCAAAGCACATTTGTCTTTTTCCCTCAAGTCAAGAATAACCAATGCACCAAAATACCAGCTTTTTGCAATGAAAAAAAGTTGATGTCAGCAGAATACCTGCAAGCCAACTGAGGAGAAAGCATTTGCATTGCCAGCCAAGCACCCCTTGCTTCCAGTTCTAGGCAGCCAATCAAGCTCTCTTCGAATTCACAAGTTTGACCTAAATAAGCACCACAGCATGAAAAGCTTCTTTAGAAGTAGGATGTCAAGAGACTTATTTTAAAATACGAAATAAAATGAGAAATAAAAGGTTTCCATTGGTCAAGTTTGAAAAATTGTCTTCCTTTAGCCAATAACAGTCTGTCCCTTTGAGCCAATCGAAAATACATCTTTAGGTTTGTCCTTAATTAACACAGCCCAGCTGAGTAGCAACAATGTATAGGAACAGATGGCTGAGATGCATTCTGAGGGTTGGGCAAAGGGAAGCAAAACTAAAAAAGAAAAGGACTAGTATGGAAAAACTAGGGTGGGCCAAGGAACTTAATAATGCTCAGCCATCCTCCTTTATCTTCAGGAATCTCACTGTCCTCTCCAGTTCTGTGTTGTTCAGGTACCCTGTAGTTACTGTCTTCTATCTTCTGTCTCTGATCTGGAAAATGCCATCACAACATCCTCAGCACCTGTAACAAAAGATACAGAAAAACAGGGACCACAATTATTCCCTTTAAAAAAACAGTGGATAAGTGCATTAGGAAGACTGTCATCCGAACCATTATGAAATCAACAGGAAAGGAAAGAAAGGACAGAAGGAAGAGAAAGCTGTGTTTGCTTATTTTTCTGCGGCTGGAACTTGATGTTCCAAACATTTCAGATTCAGATTTAAGATTTTTCTTTACAAACCAAACAAAGAAATCAGCTTGTTTTTAAAGACAAATAAGATTTCCTTGCTTTTGCATATTTCCAGGAAACAGGGCTTGAAAAAATTTGGAGATGAATGTGGAGATGTTCCTTTTCTGGTTTCATTGTCATGCAAGCAAAGACAAATAAGATTTCCTTGCTTTTGTGTATTTCCAGGAAACAGGGCTCGAAAAAAACTGGAGAGATGAATGTGGAGATGTTCGTTTTTTGGTTTCATTGCCGTGCAAGCACTTGTACAGCACAAGACACTTGTTGAGGTTCCTTAAACATGGAGAACTGTCCATCAAAACTTGCACTGCCCTGTGCATCAGACTTGCCTTTAAAACAACATCTAGATATTCTTTTCTGACTGCTCTTTTTCACTTTTAAGAATAAAAATAGTTTTAATAGGCCAGATGAAAGGCTTCTTCACTTAAAAAAATTTAAATGGTCTTTATAAACTAACAGGTATTGAAAAGGTCCCATTCTTTAACGGAAACACTATCTCTTTCAAGCTGAAGGTTTCCATTTATCCAGTGAACAGATACAGCTTTTAAGCAATGCTTTTATCTCTAGCCTGAAGAGATCTTTTCTACAAGAATTTAATCTGTGGACTTTCTCAGATCTTGTTTTTTTTTTTTTTTTTCTTCAATTGAGGTTATCAACTGTGTATAATTATCATCAAAAGTCACGTCTCCTAAGCACATAAAGATGCTATAACTTACCTATGAAATGCCTCCAGGTTTTCACAAACTAGGCTGATATCTCAAGTGGACATTTATAGTAAAGAGACCTGTACAGCTTAAGAATGATGTCTGATATAGGCATGTAAGGAACAGCATACACTGGTCTCTTGGTCTTCAAAATACACCTTGGGATACTCAGAAAAAGAACAACTCTCTGGACTTCCTAAGTGTAGAGACTACCCTCATGGACAACTGGGGAGAAACATCTTCAGGACAATAGGGAAAAAATACAGCACAGTGTCAAAGCAATGCTTTAAATGAATATCTGCTGTCTAGGCAAGAACTGTAAAGCAACCCTGAAGGGCTGAGTGCAATACTTCTAATTTCTGGTAAAAATGGGATCCCTGAGAAAGTCAGATAAAGGCAAATGCTCTCCTTTTTCTATAGGTCCTCTAAATACAGCTATCCAGATGATTAGAAAATATGACCAATACTCCAGTTACTGGTGATATAGTTTTAAACATTTCCTCCAATTAAAAATTTAAGTGCAACGGATGACAAACAATGTCCATTTTGTCCTTCATTAATTAATCAGGTTGGCTGGGAATACTTTTCTGTAATAAGGTTTTCTTCAAAGTCTATATTAAAGGATTAGACAACAAAGTAGGAAATGCCAAATGCAACAGAGGCTGCCCTGCTCCATCAGATCAGCTCAACAGTTCTTCTCTTGCTGGAGTTTGGAAAGCTCAAATTCAAGTTGGATGGAGCCTCCAAAGTTTCACCTACATTCTGGGTACAATAAAGATGACTAACAGAAGAATTTCCTACCTGCTATAGTGTCAGGGATGTAAGCCGAGATTTTACTTTTTAGTAGTCTAATTAGTTCTTTAGTTTGGGCTCAAGAAGTGGTAAAGCCTCAAAAAGATACTTCCAAATTTCAGAACAAACATTTTCAAATAATAGAAATTAAATGCTCAACTGAATGGCAGGGATTTCAGCTTATGTTAGAATACAGTGCACAATCTTGGTGATTATACATAAATAAATACCATATTTAATGCAAGTTACAAAATAAGGCTATCCCTATTTTCTACTGCCCTTACAGTGCAAGTAGGACATTATGTTTTTTCAGTTTTTCCTAAGGATCAGTTAGATGAGATGACTGTGGATCTTTCAACAACCCATCTGGAATTAAGAGCATTAAGAGAACAGACAGTAGGACAGGGTCAGCTTTTCTAAAATATTTCTGCATGAAAGACAAAGGGGGGAGCGAGAGAAATAAAAACGGTCAAATATATTAAGCCTTTACAATGTATTCCTTACTACATCAATTTTACTAAAGGCCTGCAAAATACATGTGTATATATATATATGTGTGTATATATATATATTTTACACACAGTACACGTTACAAAACTACAACCTGCCCAAGATCATGCTTAAACAAGCAGCAGTCTAGAGCAGAATTCATATGCAGACAGCTCCTATAGACGGCATTTCCTGATCTCCCAATCCTTTGAATGAGAGAAAATTTAGGAACACATTCCAAGCTTTTTCTATATCTAGTAGCAAACTCGGGGAAGGGGAAGGACAAGTTCTAACCTGTGACACTGCTCAGGAGCACTGACATGTTAATGCTTTTACCTGTTACACAAGGACGCTGCAGGTAGGAGAGGCTGTTACCCTCAGCTGCAGTATTGAACAAATGGCTCCCTAGGAAAGGATGGTTTTAGATTCCCCTTGCTAATATCCTTTAAAAATAAAGCAGTGCTTAAGAAATATGACTACATTTGCTTTTACACATACTCAAAGATGTTGTTTTTACAAACTCGAGAAAGAAAACATTAAGGACCAAGCAGTAATTTGTTTTTCATATGCAAGACCCATATTTTATAGACGTACATCAAAAACTGCTCTGATGCTCCTTCTTGCCAACACTCAAAAGCCCTGCAGTCTTCTCCCTTTTCATCTCCTGCATAAACCGTTTGTTCCCTGATCAAAATGTAAATGATATATAGCACTAGAATCCTTCTAAATTAACAAGTTGCCACGTTGACATTTTTTTAGGAAAAAACTATATAGACTCTACCAAAATAATAATAATAATTTTACTTGCAAGAATTCTGAAAAACACACATATGCCAGAAAGAGGCAGGAGTTAATATATCTGAAAGCAGTAGTGAAACAGGGGCACAAAAGCACAATGTACGCGGCTGCATTTCGCCTGCATCCCTTTAACGCGGAGAAGCCTTTGGGATGCGGATCCCAGCAGCTGGGGTATCCTAGCAACCGCAAAATCACGGATGACGCCACAGGAGCGCAGGGGATGAGCTGGATTACTTAACAGATGTTGATTGTTTTCCTGAGATTGTCCCTCTCTGCTGTCTAAATAGGAAAAAAAATAATTATATCCTTGTGCAAGCTATATGTAGAAAAAGAAATATGTTCCAGATAATTGTACAACTGCATAAACCCACTGGCCAATTTTTCTGCCTGCAAATGCAGCTTGCAGCCCTGTTCCCATGTGCGGCTTTGCTGTGGCTTCTGTTCAGCACTTTGAAACACATGAGGAGCAAAAATAGCTCTAGGCACAAGGGAAGCTGCGTAGTCTGCACTTCATTTTGGCTTTCACAATCAAACCGCTTCCACCAAAGTGCAGGTCCACACCGAGCCAGTTCCTGTGCTGATTTTTCAAGCAGGCCTGGCAGAGCTTCATGCTAGTGTTAATATGAGCTCCTGTTAATCTGCCATTTCCTGGACCTTGTATTGGAAAGGAGAAAGAAATCAAAAAATCAATCAATAAATAAATAAATTGCAGCTGGTACTGAGAGAAGAAAACAGAAAAAGGCTAATTTTGTAAGTTATGCTATGGTTTGGGTGCATGGGGGAGGAAAGAAGAGTGCAATAAAAATACAGTATAAAAACGTGTGAAAAATGTGTGAATATCATAATGTTTATGGAATATTATTACTTGTACCCTTATGGGGATACAAGCAGAACAGGTCTGGAACTCAAGTTTTCCACAGCTGAGGGTAACTGTATGGTCACAACTTGATTGCTTCCGTTTTGCCATCAGTATAACTAGAATAACTAGAGTTTTGAAGTGCTCTGAATCCTTGAACAAAGCTAAATGCATAGTTTTTACTATAACACCATCCATAGTTGATAAACTAGCTTCCCATATGGGACTTTTTAACCGAGGACAGGCAATTAGCATGAGAACCACGGTGGGTAAGCAAATTGTTGATGGAAAAAACATACAAATGATCTTTCAAAGGATGATCACTGGGTGAAAGGGAGGTTCCTGCTGTACTTTCTCAATGGTTGCCTTTATACCAATTTTACTCTCATAAACGATGCTGGAACAGAAAATAGTCGTACCCTAATGAAATTCACTGGCAATGCAAAGCTAGAAAGTTCAGCCAAAACGTCATGAAGCAACAAACCACAGAGGAATGAACAGGGTGGCAGAAAACACCAGAGAGAAGTCTAAAAGGGTCTGGCTGTATTTCAGAAGGGCAGAATTAATGAAAAACATCAAGAAACAATACACATTCCTGTGCCCCATGGTACCATTTTAGACAATATTAAATAGGTTTTATACACAGTTCCCAACACTTACAGGCCCTCCTCAACTCCTTTTGCTTTTTGGTAGAATAGAGTTCCTTTGCAGAAATTACATGCACGCCAGTATTTGCAAGAGCCTCGGGCAACTGCAATTAAAAAGACAACCTGATCTAGCAAATAAAAGCTAATATTATCCTCAAGACAAACAAGCAAGTCAGTGGGTAACCTGAGGGGCAGGTTATTCTCACATTAAAGATCCAATTTTATATTTAAGGGGGTGTTACAAATAGTAAGACATCCTTGCTCCAAACAGTAGCAGCCACATGCAGGCTATTAAATCTGATGCTAGCATAAAGTTAGGAGTACAGGACCATTTACTTCACACCCAAACTGATGGTTTCCAGACAGTGGAAATCCAGGCCCTTTTACCAGTGCCCTCTGGTTTTCCCATCTCATGACCTTATTTTATATTCACTAACAAAAGAGCCTGTACATTAGTCAGCGCTTCTCCATTCCTCAAGAACACCCGA